CTTCCGATTGACATCCCACCTCTCCTTTCTCCTCATTCCTGTCCATTGAATCTCCTAGACGTGAAAGTCAAGAGAATAGAAGCTGATAGAAAGATGTGTCTCAAAGGCTTTTCGAGGAGCTCTAACAATATCAACCTTTTAAGATTCATGATGATATTTAGTGATGCATCAATAGTGTCTTATTTCTGTTTTTATTTGCTGTATCTAAAAGTGGTGATTTTTCTCAGACAGGTTTAAAAATAATTCCTACTTTACAATCTCCATGTGTGATTTGCCCGGAATTATAACTCAGCTTGAATTACAGGTTACACTATTTAAAGTAGGACGTACTCTATGGTGCAAACGAGGGCAAGGAAAAGTCTTTTGGGTGGGGCTCATGAGAGGAGGAGATGGTGGAAGCAGACTGATGTAGGATATTATATCCTGAGAAAACAGAATCGTTCGGAATAGAGAATTTCAGGGAAGGAGAAAAGTTGTCTGAAAGGCTGCTTGGTTCTGCTTACCCTCAAAAGAAAAAGCATCACATTATCTCTCTCTATTGTAGAGTAAGGAAAATGTAGATGTTCGATGTTAGAAGAATTTAATATTATCTTTGAGCCCAAGTGGAGAAGAAAAAGTATTGAAGGGTGGTGGTGAGGAGAAGCACTTTTTTTGTTTACATTTCTATACTTTTGTTTTTACTAGCTCCTATTAATTGTACCATGTGTATGTGTGGGGATGTGATGTTGCTTTCATACAGGTATATAATATACTTTGACTCTATTGACCCTCCTCCTGTTACTCTTAGCCAATTCTGATAGACTTCTTTCAGATATTTCTAAATTCTTAAACCTCTCAATGATGTCATCCTCTCAAGTTTCTTAAACTGTGCCTTTTACAAACAAGAGTTTCTTCTCTAATGATGCCTTTCTGAGTAAAAAGTTGAATCACCCAAAGTATACAAAGTAAGAAGAAGGAAAAAAAAAAAAGGAGGCTGTGTGGGAGGGGCAGAGCTTTATAAACCCAGTCATTACGATGTCGAGGCTGGGACAACTCTGTGAAGAGCACTTCTTGTCAGACACAGCTCAGAGACTCAGGTATTTCAGCAATTTTCATGGCCATCTCTGTGGGCTACATGGTTTCTTTTCTTGTCTTCCTTCCTACAGATATTATTAATGTATTCAAAATCCAGCTGTGGGATGTTTGTAGAGGGTGAGTGCAAATTATAGTGCTGCTTCATTCTTTGATTGTTTGACTTGATCTATTTTAGTTTTATATTTGAGGTGAATGTAAAATAAGATTTGAGTTTTGAGTATCAGGAGCCAATATGAATATACCAACGGGGTATATTCATTCAAGTCGTGATGTTACTGTAATTGAATATTTTTGAGCAAGTATACTGTAGAGCAGTGATTGTTTTAGACACTGAATTTTACAGAAATTATTACATAAAGTGTTTTCCCTTAAGCAATTTTATGTATAAGTTAAAGAGAAAGAGGATTCCGTTTTTATCTAAAACTAAGAGTCATGAGATATGAGACTTAATTAACCATTTGAGCTAAGTCAATCCAATATGAGAATATATTTACTGAATCTAATTCAAGAATGGTCCAATTTCTTGACACAGAAAAATCAGTTAACTTATTGACAGGTCAACTAAATACTTATTTTACTACCTCAGAAGTAGGTAGCAATTTATTATCAAAATCAACTATTTGGGGAGGGAAATGTCATTACTGGTGGGAGTGGTCCTTATAATTATTGTTTGATCTTAGTTTTTACTGATTTTTGTGGTCAGTTTCAACACAATTACATTACAATAGTCCTTCAAAACCTTGTTCTGAATGCTAGAGAGAATTCCAAGCTAACATCCCTGGCCAATGAGGAGAGGGTGTATGGAATGTACCTGTTGGCACCTCCCAAATTCATTACCTCTGCCAAGTTTCAGTGGTGCATTTGCCAATTTGCCTTGCAGGAAACAACAGAGCCATCTGGAGCCCAGCCCTGTCCTGTATATGATTTCCATTCACACATCCCAATGATAACACTAAATAATAATGGAGACATACTATTTGGAAGTAAATGGAGCTGTATGGCTTATTATACTATTAGGAAACTCAACAATGAGCCTGCTTCCGAAGGCTGAGTTCCTGATGTCACTCCATGACTTCAAATTTGTATTGTCTCTGAAGACATGCAAATACAAGGCTTGTCTGAGTGTCAGGGAATCATATACATACATATATATTATACACTATATTATATATTGCATATATATATATGTATATATATATATTACATCCTTCATTTTGAGTGCTACAAACTTCTAGACATGATTTGAAAAGCTGGCAGGAAAAGCACTAGAGTTGAGATCAGAAACCTGGGATCTGGCCTGGGTTCTGAAAGGCAGTATCTGTACAAGCTACATCTCTGTCCGTAGTGTAACAGGAATTCCTAAACTTTAATGAGGCAAGTAATTATGCAAATTAAACAAAAAAGTAGCCCGAAGTCATTAGGCAACGACATTATAGACCTTAAATATCATTTATGTGAAATGCCATTAATTGCGCTTCATTTAAAAGGTAGAATAGGTTTTATTACCTTTTTTTAGTAAAATGCTACAGATCTGAACTCAGGGCCTTACACAGGGTAGGCAAGCTCTCTATTAGGGAGCTGTCTTTCCAGCCATAGATTTTTTTAAAGAAGGAAATGTTTTTGGGACAATGTACCTTTGATTTTATGAATTTTTTGTTCTTCATCAAACATCCTTAAATTCTAACTATTAAGAGTCCTTTTTCAGATTTTGTCTGGACATGTAAATCTTGTTTAAGTCAAAGTCATGGATGGACTATGTAACTTGTGATAAAAGATCTAGAAAAAAAGAGTTGAAGTCTACTTTTCTAGCTCTGCTATCTTGTTTGATTTTCAGATGGAAATAAAAATATTTTGTGCATATTTTTAATCAGTCTGTCTCCAGAAAGTGCTGAGGTAATTTATTTAGAAAGTTTATTGAATAATCCTGATTAATTATGAAGTCAGTAGGGAAAAAACAATTTTTTGGAACTGTCCACATTAATCTAGCTTCTGTGATGAAACAAGAAGAAACGTGTTTTGTTTTAATTTAGTAAACTTTCTAGGAGCAGTGGAGACCACCATTTCCTCATTTTATTTCCTCTTTCTAGCGTTTCTCAAACTATCACTTGCATCAAGAGTCTTGCACATCATAGTGAAGTTATGCATCAAAAGTGACACAGGGGAGAGACAGAGGGTTTCCTGTTGCAGACCTGGCTATGAATCCCTGTCCAATTGTATATGAGCAATGTGACTTTATACGGGTTCCTTAACTTCTAGGAACTTTTGGATGTAACCTATCAGACAGATAACCATACTTACCTTCCTGTGGCTGCCACCAAGATGAAAATGAACAGACAAGGGGAAAGGGCTAGAATGTCAGGGTCAGAGTTACTACTTTTGTCTCGATACAATACAATTTGGATCCTATTTCAAATGACAAATTTCCGTGCAAATTCTGATCACTTTCATGAACAGTGCAGAGCTTATTAATCAATCCAGGCTTCCTGAGGGGTGCTCCTGGATGAGTGACACGTGATGGCTGCTCTTTGTTGGGGAGCTGCCCCCCCGCCCCCATCCCCGCAGCCAGGTAGGACCAAAGCTGGAGACAGTGAAGCTGATGGCTGCCGGCATGCCTCCTCCCACGGGGCTCCCAGCTCTCCCGGGCTGTTCTTAGAAGCCACTGCTGCTGTGTGATCTCTTTAAACAGATGATGCCTATCAGGGTCGGTTGGTCTATTTAGGCGTGTTGGTAATTATAAGGTATGTTTTAAACTGTGATGATAAGAGAAATACATACAATTAAAAATAGGATAATTTGCCAGTCACATGTGTGCTCTCTCTCTCTCTCTTGCTCTCTCTCTCTCTCACTCTCTCTCTCTCTCTCTCTCACACACACACACACATGCACATCCATATGCTCACTTGGGTTTGTCCAAGCATCTCGTCACACAGTCCTAGGTCACAGGTGGTAAGTTGAGTGCATGTGTGTCCTTTTTCATCTACTTGTTCCTGTCCCTGTACTCCTTCCTGATGCTGACTTTCTGCTGGTGAGTGGGGGTGACAAAAATGGGGCCCCAAGAAATAACTCCCTGTGTAAGAAGTTCTTTTGTAGCAAGACTGTGGTAAGTAGGGTGTGTGCGCACAGTAGCTTGGTAAAGAGCTGACCCTTAAACACAAGTCTAACCACTACTAGAAAGCAGATTGATTATCTCCATAGAAGCCAAGAAGAACATAGGTATATTTGATGTACATTTGAACATATGTGAGAATGGGAGAGAGGAAGGGAGACAGAAAGGAAGAGATAGAGGGAGAGAATGAGAGAGGAGCAGGAAAGAGGGAAGGAGAGAGTATGTGTGTGCCCATGGGTGTAGCAAAGATATGACAGTTGGGGTTAGAGGTAGCTTACTTGATTCCAGCTCCCACTCCTGCGCTTCGCAGTTGATTGACGGTGGCCACTCCATTTGTTCCTTTGTAAACACTTTGTAAACAGTAACACTTCCTTGTCAGCCTTTCAGAGAGGATGAAATGGTTAGTACAAGAAAAGTGTGTGGAAACATTCTTGTTAGATCATAGGACGTCAATAACCATTGTCTATTGTTGGTATTGTCCATGTTCTTGCATGAAGCACCAGAAGGTGTCCCTACCCATCATATGACTGTTCACTCTGCCTCCGATTGGCTATGAAATTTAGAGGGCCTGGGTGAGCAATAGAGACACATGGCCTTGGGAATTCCAAGATGGTGTCAGGAGCGTCCTGTGCCCAGCATGAGCATGGTGGTGGCGTGGTAATGATCTCGAAACTCTTTGTCTCCCGTAGAGGAAGAACAGGGAAGGACCCCTGAGTCTCCACAGGGGACAGCCTCTATCATTCTATGAATCCCACCCAAAACGCGATCCCATCTTTTACAGCTGTTTTCCCTTCCTCTTTGTTCCTTTTAGATTGAGACCATGGAAGATCTTTACGTAGCAAACACCATCTTCGCCCTCAATTTCTTCAAGCATCTGCTGAAGACAAGCCCCACCCAGAATCTCTTCTTCTCCCCATGGAGCATTTCATCCACCATGGCCATGGTCTACCTGGGTTCCAAGGGAAACACTGAGGAGCAGATGGCACAGGTAAGCTCTCATCGTTAAAGCCTGGTAGGACGGAGGGATTCCTGTTAGGGAATTGCTCGTGTCTAGTGCTCAGGTCATCCTGACTCTAAGGAACTAGCTATCACACAGTGCTGATGATGCACCAGCCCTCACAACATCAGTTCCTGAGACTTAAATCTATAAACCAATGACCATCTCAGTGGTAGAGAGTAGAAGCCCTGTCTGAGCTGATTATTCTACTAATGTGAGAATCATGATACTTTAAAAAAAAAAGTATCACACTTAGAAGGCTGAGGCAGGAAGACGGAAACTTTGAGGTCAGCCCAGGACACACAGTAAGAAACTAAAAACAAAGAACTCCCACTACTGAATAAATGATAATAATATCATGTTCATACTTTTATTTTGGGGGTAAGGATGAGACTGCAGCTTGAACCCTTAGCCTTTTACTTGCTAGAGAGGCTCTTGAGTCATGCCCTGAGCTTTTTTGCTTTATTGTTTATTCAAATGTGGTCAATGGTTTTCCCCTGGCTGGCTTAGACTATAACCCTCCTATTTAGGCTTCCTGGATAGCTGGGATGATAGATGTGTGCCACCATGCCAGTCTTTATTAGTTGAGTTAGGTCTCATGGGCATTTTCCCCAATCTGACCTTGAATGAATCCTCCCAAAGAACTAAGATTATAGGCATGAGCGATCATACCTGGCCAGTGTTTGTACTTTTTACATTGAGTGTTTTTCACACTTTACACTACTTGGTTTTGCAAAAAAAAAAAAAATCAATTGACAGATGTGAATATTGGCAGCGTGATTTAAACACCTTGATCTGGAACTCCTAGCTCAGGTTCTTCCCATCCACCTGTGCACTATGGTTTGTTCGTGGTTAGGATTCCTCCTAACTTTAAGAGAAACAAATATGATGGCTGTGGCCAGTCCACTCCCAGAAACACCCTGGAAGGCACTACCCAGACCATCAGTCATGTCCACACAATGGGGCCTTGCATTCTGTATGGCCAGTCTTCAAGGTCAAGGTGGAAGGGGTGTGGAAAAGCATTGTCTGAGACATCTGTGCCAAGGCCTCTGCCTGTCCTCCTGGCTGAGTGGATCCTTTCTCAGACTGCTGAACTGCTTCAGTTGTGCAATTCTGTATACCCAGGGGATGCACTCAGCACATTTAACATTCTCGTGGGGACATCTGTAATTAAGATTCCTTTGCAGTCACAAGCATAAAACATTAAGACAAAATGCACAGTGATTTTGGTCACACCAAAATGCCTGTGGCTGATTTCTGGTTTCCCATGAGAATTGTGTCTGAGTATAAATACATCCTTGTCCAGAACACTGTGACCCATTTCAGGTGGGCCTCCTTTGAAGTAGGAAATTTCACAGGGAGAACATTGGCCAATCTCCCTGCATGAGGACAAGGGAATGACAGATCACCTCCTGTATTTGTGGCCGTTTAAACACTGAGGCTTACAACAAACCCCCTTGCTCAACTCTAATACTAGCAGTGTTTTGAAACACTCCTTCCCTTTACATTTTCTCCCTTGAAAAAAACTATGGTGGCAAGCTGTGTTGATGACCTTAGAAAACATCAAGGTTTAAAGTTTTTAAATATAAAGAATCAGACAACATATTTAAGGGCAAGTGCTCAATGGGGGTGTTTTAGGTTGTTTAAATAAAGACTTTAAAAAATTGAATTCATTGGTCACTCTGGATAGAGGTAGCTTTTCTATTTGTGAAAAATACTGAGAGAACTTGAGGTTATGCAAAGATTTTGAATATTCTTATAACTCTGTGGCATAAGCAGATTTTAGAATTAAATGACCTCTGTGCTTAACAAAACAAGAAGAAACAGATGTTTCTTGCCTTAGAAGAAAAACCTGTCAGTATCTGTCATGATTTTGCTGCTTCCAAATGTGTGAGACATTGAGCCTTTCTAATTTTCTGTTTTGCTGTGTATAAAATGGGAATGAAGATGTAAAACTTAAAAGTTTTAAGGCTGGAACTAATGCTTAAAACACCCAGTAGCTATAATAATATATATTGGCTATAATAATAGTCAGTAAATATCAGTGACATGGGCCTTTTAAATAAAAACTTCTCCAATTTATTCACATAATACAATATCCTCTGATGTCAATGCTGTGATTGATAAACTCACTTTGCTGTTGAGAAAATTAGGAGTAGAGTGGACTATCTTGTGGGGATAGATGGAGGTACGTGGAAGGAAGGAAAGAAGGAAGGAAGGGAGGGAAGGAGGGAGGGAGGGAGGGAAGAAAACAAAGAGAGAAACAGATATGATAATGTTGAAAGGGGTGACCTTGATCAAGATGCACTGCATTCATAAACTGCTTTGTTCAATGGCAATTCCTTCGTACAATGGAAGATAACATAAATAAAAAGAATTAGAAAGAAGCAGATGGTGTGAATCTGTAGAGAATACAATGAATTTCTCATGTGGATTCCTATAAGGGAAGTTTAGATTGGTTGACAATTCCATATCATATAGGAAGAGTAACTTGTGTTATTCTCCATGCATATGAGGCACGGAGCCAGACATAGGCCCATCCAGAGCTACCTCTTAGCCACTAGTTTTAAGTAAAGTGGTTCGGGGTCACCATTCTCTGATTCTGATTATAGGTGCTTCAGTTTAACAAAGTGGCTGGCTATGATGTCACCCCCAGAACGCCAGAAAACTTCACTGGTTGTGACTTCATGCAACAGATACAGAAGGGAACTTATCCGGATGCTATTTTACAGGTACTGGGCTCATTTGTTCTTATATTATTCCTGGAATCTTCTTTTTTTTTTCTTCAAAAAATCAGAGTGTTAGACCAGGAAGCCATGCAGCAGAATTTCCCCACAAAAAAGGAAAGAAAATTGAGATTGAAGCCATGAAGTAAACATCATATGGTCAGCGGATAGCAAAGCAGAGCTAGACAGAGCCCAGACTTTAGTTTTTAGCTGAATATTTTCATAAATTTGATCACGTCTCTCTGTCATCAGAAATAGATGTAATGTGTTATTAAATGATCTTGTGCTATAGCAGAGAATATTAGAATTCACATGTATGAATGAAACCATCTAAAGAGAGGATGTGAGGAATTGAGGAATGTTGAAGGTCAGACCTCCTGACTGTATCAGAAGTCACAGGGCCTCAAATCAATCAATCAATCCATCATCAGTCAGTCAGACATCATCTATTCCAAGCATATATTCCCTTAACTATCAGCCACACATCTACGTAGTAACAGCTGGGTAAATCCAGATGTGCTTCTATTCCTAACTCACTTCCACACAAGTTAATCATAGCCCATGATTATTATGAGATGTGGCCCTTCATTTCCTTCCTGGACACAGTAATTCCCCACCCACACATCACCCAGTGAATCATGGGTCAGTGGAAGTGGGTGCTTCTGCCACGTATCCTCTGAGCCTGGAGGGCTCTGTCCTCACTTCAGCCCAGGGCACCAGACTGAGCCCATCTCTCACAGTGCTTACAGTTGCCTGGCTGAGTCTTGGAGTTCCCATTCACTAAAGCCTGGCTTTTCCACTATATTGCCTACTTTGGAACATAGGCTGTTCTGGAAGCCTATGAATGTGGTTAGGTAATATTTCTCCTAGCTTAATGAGAATTTCATCACTGACAAATGAAACTCTATTTTTGATGTGTACCACGTGATTGAATATACCTGTACATCATGAAGTGATTTCCGTCATTAGTTTAGCACATCTGTCACAACTAGTTACATATGTATAGAGATGGGTAAGGCCATCTTACAGTCGTGTTAGGGGCAAGTTCTTGTTGCTCAAGGAATAGCTTGTTTGGCAGTCTTTTGTTATAGAAAGGGAATTCTTTTTTCCGGATTCAGGCACAAGCAAGAGACAAAGTGCATTCCTCCTTCCAAGCGCTCAGCTCCGCCATCAACACATGCAGCGGCGATTATGTTTTGGAAAGTGCTAATAAGCTGTTTGGAGAAAAGTCTTCGAGATTCAAAGAAGTAAGGGAGGCCTCTCTGTGGAAAGGGGGAGGGGGAGGGATGGCCAGATCACCTGCGAAACACAAATTCATACAAGCAGAGTCAAACTTCGACTCAGGCTCCCTGAGGCTAGCCTCCTATGGCCACGGTCCCGCTGTCCGTTTCTCCCCTACCTGTCACATATGTCCCATATACAGAGTAATAAGTCACACTTCCACAGCCACCCTTCTCCATAGAAAATGTCTTTGCATTGTCACTCAGCATCTAGAATGCAGACAACGCAAGAATGGGCAGTGGGAGTTGGGGCAAACATGGTGGGAAGGGAGATAACGGAGAACTGATAATCTGCCATACTTCCTCCCCCAGCCCCCACACAGACAACTTCTGTCCAACCTCTACCTCCTGCCACTGAGCCAGGACTGGAAGCGTGTAATCTACCATCCTCACTGTCCTGTTCCATAATATGTTCTAGGTAACATTTGACATTTTCTTACTTTAAAGGAATACGTGGAACTCTGTAAGAAATATTACTCCACTGAACCCCAGGTGGTAGACTTCCAAGAATGTGCAGAAGAAGCAAGACAGAAGATTAATTCCTGGGTCAAGAATCAAACCAAAGGTAAAATCAAGGGATGATTTCATTTTACTTAGAGAACCACGATGCATCTTTAACTGTTCTTGAAATCAGTTCTCATCCCTTTAAAAGAGTTATCTGGTTGAGAGATCCTTACATGCATTTAGCAAGACAATTTTTTAAGTATTTAAAAAATTATTTTATTTTTTTTAAGTAGTTGCATAAAGGATTTCAGTTCCAGAAGTCAGACTGTGAGTACAGTGTGCCTTTAAAAAACGATCTTTGAGTAGTTGTACAGAGGAGATTCCATTTAACAAAGCAATTTATGAATACAATGCATCTTGATCAGTGCCACCCCTTTTAACAATCTCACCCATCCCCCACTGGTTTTCACATTCTCCTTAACCTTTGAAGAAAAATACAGGAGGCCCGCTGATAGAAGATTGACATTCAGCGCTTAACTATTCTTATTCCTAGATATTATTATAGTACAAAACACAAAAAGAGGTAGAAGCCATTAAATACAGGAAGTAGCAGTGTGGAAATAAAACCAAAGAGAAAAGAGGCTTGACCTTGAGTTGCATAATTGATGTAAGCTATAAGAATATGGAGGAGGGAAAGATAATGGGATTACTTAAACTCTTTCTTTTCTTTTACCATTCAAGGCTATGCTGCTGCCAAGTTCTTTTTTAATCTTTCATAGACATCTGTTTCCCTTTATCTTTTTTGTTACATGAACTCAAATTAGATATATTATTTACTCATTACTATTGAGTTCATTCATTTAGTCAACAAATAATACATGGTATGTGGTAGATATTAATTACCATCATCATTACTACTGATATTAGCCATTTATTTCCACCAAACTGTGGTTGAACTTTGGTAAATTGAGTGCAATTCTTCGCAGTAGGATTTTTCTGAACTCTGAGATGGATTTATAATAGAAATCACTCTGCTTTGTCTTCAGTCAGCAGTGGGCATTGTGCCCATAGCAGAAGTAAAAATGGCAAATACTACTATCAGAGATTCTGCATTCTAGTTCAGAAGTTCTGAGGATACATAAAATACACTTTAGAGGTTACGTATTAAAGATCGGAGGCTCACTAAAAGTAAACTTTTTCTTAAACCATTTTTCAGAAATGCAGACCTTCACGGTCATTGTTTCTGAGAACCACACCCAAGTCCTTCACTCCCTTTCCTGTGTTGTCCTGGTTTTTGCAGATTGTTTCACCACTGGTTTTGAAGGTCTCTTCTTGTACTCTAAAAACAATCCAGGCTAGTTTTTCCTTTCTCATCCATTGTGCCTGTACTCTTCCTAGTTTATATTGATGATAATTTATAAATGTTTTGAAAATCCATTATTCATTTCTTCAGATCTGTAAGCTGTGTAGACCAGACCAAAGAAAGACCAAGTAACATGCAGAAAATGCCTTTGTCATGTCTGCTAATAAACACTTTCACTTCCTTCTGAACTCAGTATTATTCAGGCAACTGAAAAACTGAGCAAACAATATATAATATACATGGAAGTAAAAACTTCTCTTTTTCAAGTGTGACAGTGATTTTATTATTTAAATGCAATTTGTTTTCATTTTCTCTAGAATTTGACAAGCCTTCTGAGGAACCTATTCTAATTTTACAGGTGTTTTGTGCCAATCCAAATAGAACTGAAAGACTAGTCTCTGCAATCTGGCAAACGTAGATATTGAGTTTGATGCCTGCTTGGACCAAGAAAGCAGAACCTTCTTGATTACAAAGCCTAAATATACATGTGTTTTCTTTAGGCAAAATCCCAGACCTGCTACCTAAGGGTTCTGTAGATGAAGAGACCAAGATGGTTCTGGTGAATGCTATCTACTTCAAAGGAAAGTGGAAAACACCATTTGAGAAGAAACTACCTGGGCTTTATCCTTTTCGTGTGAGCTCGGTATGAGAAAATAAAAAATCATTTTTCTAATCGATATCTATGGCCTTAGACAAGGCAGAAAAGTAAGAGACATCCCTCAGATTCTCCTATATGACTTGCTAGTTATAACTTACGCATGTTGGGTATTGACTCTTTCAAGCTATTGACTATTTCTCAGTAATGGCCTAAAAGATGATATGAGTAGAGGTGAAGACTATGGATTTTTATCATTACATATGTCTAGATTCAATATAGGCTCTACCACTTATCAGCTATAATCTTACTCATCTCCTTTGTATATCATATTCACTCTGAAAAGCTAGGATACCATAATTAATATATAATTTGAAAGGCTGTTATTAAGTATTCGATGAGGTTTACCAGTGTTTCGGTCCCATAGCAGGTATTGAGCAAATATTTTAGTGGTAGTTATAACATGATGATACAACTTATTAGACAATGAATATAAAATTTAAACAAATTTAGCATGCTCACACTAAGGAAATGCAAATATTTTGAGTGATTCGTCGACTCTAGAACACATGTTTTTCAAGATTGAAAGTCAATTCATTCTCTTGTAAATCTCTTGACATCTTGGAATTAATTTTCATATTTGCCTTTCTACACTTTTAGACTCAGAGTGTGCCTGTGCAGATGATGCACCTGCGGGAGAAGCTCAACATTGGATACATAGAGGACCTCAAGACTCAGGTTCTGGAACTCCCCTACACTGGAGATGTCAGCATGTTCCTGTTGCTTCCAGACGAAATTGCGGATGCGTCCACTGGTCTAGAGTTGGTAAGGCAGTACAAACCCAATAGTTTTTTGTTGTTGTTGTTGTTTTGTTTTATTTTGTTTTTATCAGTTGTGGGGCCTGAACTCTGGGCCTGGGGACTGTCCCTCAGCTCTTCAGCTCAAGGCTACTGCTCTACCACTTGAGTCACAGCACCACTTCCGGCTTTTTCTGCTTATGTGGTGATGAGGAACTGAACCCAGGGCCTCATGCATGCAAAGCAAGCACTCTACCACTGAGCCACTTTCCCAGCTCACAAATCCAATAGTTTTAATCTTCTAGAATTCCATTGACTTTTCATGAGATGAATATCTAATGCCGTAGGAAATGATTGACAATTTCTCACAGAGCTATTTGGAGCAGTTAATAACAAATGATGTACCACTAAATGTTGCTCCTTAATCTTAAACATTTGTCATACATACTACTTTCTTGCAAAAACGTGACCAATCTATTAAATTTTTTAATCATGCAAAATGAAATGAAATTTAGGATTGTTTTCCTTCCTTTCTCAAACTCATTGGCTCTTTTGTTTCATTGTTTTAATTTGCAGCTGGAAAATGAGATAAATTATGACAAACTCAGCAAGTGGATCAACCGAGACACAATGGCTGAAGGTGATGTGGAAGTCTACCTACCTCAGTTCAAATTAGAAGAGCGTTATGAACTCAAATCCATTTTGAGAAGCATGGGCATGGAGGATGCCTTCAGCAAAGGCCAGGCCAATTTCTCAGGGATGTCGGAGGAGAACACTCTCTTTCTTTCAGACGTGTTCCATCAAGCCTCTGTGGATGTGAATGAGGAGGGCACTGTAGCAGCGGGAGGCACTGGGGCTATTATGACTGGGAGAACTGGGCATGGAGGCCCACAGTTTGTGGCAGACCATCCCTTTCTCTTCCTTATCTGTGAAACCACAACGAAGAGCATTCTATTTTGGGGCAAATTCTCCTCACCCTAAAACTGAAAGCCCATTTCTGCACAAGGTTTTGTAGTCTCAGAATTGCTATCTCAAGAGCCAAGTGTTTAGAAATACTTTCAACGTATTTCTGTTCTTTTGGACAACTTCTCTATGCTAACTACAAATTCAGCAATAACTACATAGCTTTCAGTCATAACACAATAGCTCTATTAGTCTTTTGGTCTGCTCAAACAGGATGATATTCATTTAGTTCTTCCTTGCAGAACTTTATTTTATAGCATGAACATTAATTGTGTTATTTATTATTTTATATAGCAGTGGTTTGTTTTTTTACTTATTGTTCACTATTTAATGTGACTGAAAAAATTACAGAAGCAAGTGATTTGTTAATTTTCCATCTAAGTAAATATATTTGCTTGTGCTGCTAGGGACCAGTGGCTCATGCCTGTAACTAGCTACTCAGGAGGCTGAGAGCAGTTTGAAGTCAGCCTGAGCAAGAAAGTCCACTGAGAGGGCTGGGAAGGTGGCTCAGTGGTAGTGCGCTTGCCTTGCATGCTCGAGGCCCTGGGTTCGATTCCTCAGCACCACATAAGCAAAAAAGAAAAAACCGGAAGTGACGCTGTGGCTCAGGTGGTAGAGCGCTAACCTTGAGCTGAAGAGCTGAGGGACAGGGCCTAGAGTTCAGGCCCCATGACCGGACCAAAAAAAAAAAAGAAAGAAAGAAAAAAGAAAGTCCACTGAGACTCTGATCTCCAAGTTACTAGCAAAAATCCAAGCAAAAATCCAAAAGTGAAGCTAAGGCTCAAATGATAGAGTGCCAATCTTGAACCAAAGCTAAGGGACAGCTCCAATAATAGAACACAAAGATAGAAGTGTATTTATTTGTGCTTATAAGTGAAATATGAGTAAGTGATCTCTTATAATCTTCCATAATAAATGTCCATATGTTATGGGAATTTGTAGCATTATTTGTCACAAAGATGTATCTATATCTTCTATGTAATTCCAAATATTTAATAAATAAATGTGTTTACCCTCAGCTATTTATTTTCAGTTATTGGCCTAGGGTGTGTAATAAAGACCTATTATCCCTTGTTTGTTAGTCAGCTCTCCCTTCCTATAACAAAATATCTGAGTTCAGTCAACTGAAAATGTAGATTGTTTTAGTGCATAGATTTAAAGTTGTAGTCTATGGGTGGTAGGCTCTGCAGCTTTGGAGCCAGCGGTGAGGCATCTTGAGAAGTTCATAATAGAGAAAAGATGCATACTTCATGGCCAGGAAGAGACCATGAGCCATAATTCCCTCCAAGGGCCTAAGCCCAGGATTTGAATCTCCACCCCTTAAAGGTTTCCACCACCCTCTGAAAGCATCAAACTGAGGGTCAAGCCTTTCATGCATGGGCCTTCAGGAGACATGTCAGATCTAAACCAAAGCACCTTGATTTCTAGAAACTGAGTATTATGACTAACTTGTGGGAACCTAGAAAATATAGACGGGATAAATGAGCCAAAGGACATAATCTCAGTCATGCAAAAAGATGCAATTTTGACTGTACATAGGATGGCTCTGTATGACAAGGAAAGATGAAGAAATGGATTGGAGCTGCTTTCTCATTGCAGCACAAGGTGTAGCAATTCCCAACAGTCCCGGCCCAAGCACTTTGTGGAACAAGTGTGTAGCCAGAAGGTTACTACAGATAACCAACATGTGCAGCATTCCAGACTCAGTGGTCCATGACTCAAGTCAGGACCCTGGAGCAGAAAGTCCAGAGCAGAGGAGACGGGGTGAGTGCGAGAGCAGGAGGGAATGCAAGATGGTCACTTGGCACAAGTAATGGTGACTGCCTTTGAGTAGGTGGGAAGCAGAGCAGAGTCTAAGTTAACACTGGATCCTGGAATTGCATCCCTAGCTCCACCCCTTGAAATGGAAGTCCGAGATGTTGGTTGGTCCACCAAGAAGGGATAGCTAAGAAGCTACTCTCGTGATCTTGAATGTCTGCATGGCATCCCAGTTCAACGGCCTACAAACAGTCTAACCATGTGCCAAGTGTGACTCTTCTGCTTTCAGTGTGAGCCTTTTCTCCCCCTAAGATTGATATGAACTCATGAGCAAATGAGTCCAGGCATATTATGCTGTTACAAAATGTTTGGTATAGATGCTATTCAATAAATTCTTATTTACTATAATCATTATCCTGCATATGTAACTGGTCAAGCATAACAGAATCTCAAAAGAAAGTTACTGCATTAATGTTTTAAAGCTTCTTTCATTTATTCCTGAAAATTAGAGCTCTTTTGTTTATTGCATTCTCTTAGCTACTTTAAACAGATGTGTACCACTTTCTTATTTTATGGATGGTTTTGAGTGAGTTCTAAATTACCCATCTTTCTAAGCGGCCCATCTTTTACCCTCACTATTGTGGTTAAGTGACGAATTCTAGGGTCAAAGCCCTTTCAACATTTGTGGACATAATTCTGATACCTTCAGGCATTCAAAGTCATGCACAGTGAAGTTTATGTCATAATTCTTGCTTGTTGTGAGTTTAATAGTTTCGTTTTTATTCTTTTTTGTGTATTTTGTCGCATTGAGAGTATTGCTGACAAATGATAATTTTTTCATACATTGTCCTGATCATCTCAGCAGATATTTCTATCTTGCCTTTGTTCTTGAAACTTTCAGCCACTGCTAGGCCTCGATGCTTGTGTCTCCCTCAAAACCTGGTATGCTGACATTATAATCCCTCCTACAATGAGACTGGGGCTTTGGGAGTAAAAGGTTAGATTAGGGAATGAGAGCAGAACTCCCACGATGGGGGAGGGAGTATTCATAAAGAAGAGGAAGAGTACGGAGCTTTCTTCCTCTGCAATGTGAAGTTGAAATGAGAGCCCACCGAGGGCCCCCACCACAGCGCGACCACAGTCACACTCTGCTCTCTAGCTTCCAGGTTCAGGAAGTGTGAGAACAAATGGGGCCTGTTTAGGCCACTCTGTCAGTGGCACTCAATGATCATACTCTAAATGGACAAAGGCAATGCTATCTACCCAGTTTTCCTTGCCCCATTCCATCTATTTTCTGCTTCTGAATACATATTAGAATACAGCTGATGTACCCGGAGAGCATTTCTCTGTTTCTAAAATATTTTGAACACCTAATAAACTGTCCAATGACATACAAATATACTAGAGTATGATTCTCCTTCCTGTTCCTAATGCATGTTTAGTTAATTTCTATTCCTGTAGCCCTGCCTACATATTATTACCTACAGAGTTAAGGAAGGATATACATAGCAACAACAAATCATACTTGTGTCTTAATATAAGATGTGATTACCTCTTTTTTTTCTTCTGTCTCCAAAAGGCAACCTGACACAATGCGCAAGCCAATCTTCTTGGTCTAGGCAGTGTTTCAGTAAATAGAGTTCTAATCAACAGGAGACTGGGGGAAAATGTAGAGAAAGTTTGGGGAAAAATGAACAAAACTTCCCCTGTGTGACTTTAAAGCAGATGAAATGACTTCCTGTGTCATCGTGTCTACATGGGTGCATTTGATGCAATACAAGGAACTCGAGCAAGTCTGCTTGCTGAGCAGGGAAGCATAGGGAATGACGGCTGAACTCCTGTCAGTCCAGAAGAGCAGCCCCATCTGGAGCCTCAGGAGATGCTTTCGGCTAAGCAGAGCGCTGGGTGCATGCGTGGATCACCGAGTCTGCACACTACAAGTCAAGCAGGCGTCATGGAACTTCTGACCACAGAGCGTATTTCCAAGGGAAATTCCCAGGTATCCCTTTGCAGTGGACTCCATGTCAACTTTCAAATAGTTAGCTTTCAAGCCAGGAGAGGTGCCTGCCTCTATGTGAGGAAAACATGGAAACAGTACCAAATTCATTGTAAATGGAGAGGCTCTTCCTTCCCCTTAATCCCTGGTCCTGCCTGTTTTTATCCTCCATGCATATGCAAATAAAACTATTATCTTGCAATTTCTTCTTGTGGGCCCAAGGAGGGCCAGCTAAGGAATGTTGTTAAGGAAAATAAGACCAGAAAATGGTGGATCAAGGTTCCGCTGAAGAGCAACATCTAACACATTGACCTACATCTTCATCTCTGCTGGTGTGGGACACTGACCTGCTCCTCATTGGACTCCCGCTCTGGGGTGTACACCTACACTGCAGATAGAAACAGAAAATATCCTGGTCTTGTAGTACCCTGAGAGCAACTGCAGCAGGTGAGCTGTAAAGAATGTACCAGTGATAGCTTTCATTGCATTGTTCATTATTATTCTACTGATTTTTAAAAAACAAACAAAACTTCACCGGGAGAACTGATGCTAATTGTGGTTAGTTGGCAGAGCAGAGAAGGGATTAAGCTCAGATGGTATGACTGAGAATTTGTCAGTATTCAGGTCTCTACAAGCAGATGCAAGTGGAAAATGTTCTCAGGCAAGACCTCAACTATCTATCTCTCTTTTCATTTGAATTTCCGGCCAAGGAAAGCCTGAGAGGAAGAGTGTACTGACTTGTAAAAGCTAACTAAACCGTGAGGCGGAGAAGAGGGAGGGGCTATTCTTCAGTTAAAATTACCTAACTCTTCAGCCACAATTTCTTTCTGAAGAAACTAATTGCCATCTGCTCCAGCAGAGAGAAACAAGGTATTGTAAACATTTCTTTGGTTAAAAATGCTTTTTTAAAAAAATGTTTTCCTTTATTGTGGTGCCTAGCTAAATAACAAATATCAAGACTACTCTGTTAAACTCAAGGTGGCAAAGACAATTCTCCATCCCTGAGGTGGTTTTCTCTACAGGCCGGAGAGACTTGACTTTGAGCTGGGGGAAAGTTTGTACTGAAGGTTAAGGGAGAGAAGACCTTCATTTCAATGAAGTCATAGAAATTGTTTGTTTGATTGTTTTAAAACCAGGACTTGTGAAGCCACAAGTGAACTCATGCGGGGATTTTCTACCTGTATGTCCATTAAGCAAAGATAAAAGTATCTTATAATAATTGAGTCTAAGCCATACTCACCCTCAGAAAAGTGGAGCTGGAGGC